GGCTCCTGTGGACACCGCGCGAGGGGCCGCCCCGCCTCGCCCCTTCCTTCCCCGCCCCGCTCCGGGAGGGCCCTGAGGAGGCGCCGGTGGCAGCGGGGCACGGCCGCCGCCCGGCCCGGCTTGTTCTTCCGCTCGGCCTCCCCCTGCTCCTGGGCCTTTATGCCTTGGCAAAGCCGTCCCTTCACCCGGCCGCGTCTCGCTGCCGCCGCTCGTGTCCCGGGGTGCCGAATAAGCCAGGGCATCGGGGGGGCAAAGGCAAGAAACGGCCCTGGCGTTCGTCCTGCTGGCCCTGAGAACCCCCGTGGCACTCCTTGGACAGTTCGAGTCTCCTTGGTTTGTGAGCGAGACGCTGAAACTCTCACCCAAGTAGCGGTAGTAAGGAAGTCCTTGTTCCTCTAGCAGAAGGATGAGGCCGTATCAGCCACGGACCTTTCTGCAGAAGAGGATGGGTCGTTTATGAAAATATCCAAAGCTGTTCATGTTTCTGATTGTAGACAAAGTATATTTAGTTATTGATGCTCCTGTAGCTGCTAATTGCTGGGGTTTAGTTCTTTAAGGAACCCACGTAACTCTTGCATGGTGGTTTTAAATTCTGAATAGTTTGGAGAGCTCCAAAATAAAAGGAAGCAAAACCACATGGACATGCTAACATCAATTACTGTGTTATATACTCACTTGAAAAAGCAGAAGTATCAAATCACTTTTATTACTGTTGTGTGAATCTGGATTTAACAGCTAATTAATTTGTGGTCGTGCTGAATAGAAGAGGGAGCAGGAGGTAGAGTGGCTGGGCAGGGTATGTGAAGTAGTATGTTAGGACCACTCTAAAAACTTTCATTCAGATATAATTTCAGTAACTGGTACATCAATAACATCTTTACTGAAAGGTGAGTTAGTGAATTGTGATGGAACGTTAAACTTTGATCTAAAATTTTTCAGGTGTGTTGGTATAAGACTGCTGAAGACCCAGACGCAGTCGTACTAACAGCCACACTGTATGAGAAGGCCTCCTTTTGCTGTTTCTATTCTATCAAATCAAACCTATCACTCATGCTGTTGACCTATTTGAGGGCTCTCAAATACGCAACTCATATTGGAAATAAGACAGACAAATATTTATAGGTAAAAAATAAAGTACTTTTCTCTGGCTTAAAAACTACAGACATTTTACTGTTTTTCTTTCGAGTCATAGTTACCTGAGTACTAAACTTAGTTGAAAACTTAATGTTAAGTTCTGAAAACCTCCAATCTTTCTGGGTTGTGAGTGAAGAAACCCCTTTTGATCTCTCTTAAAGAGTTTATCTAAAGTAGCAAGGTTTCTTGTTCCACTGACTTCAGAAGGCAACATACTTATTGTTTAGCTTAAAGGACAGATTCTTAAATGTTAAAAACTTTTGTACCACTTCTTGAGTTCAGTAAATCTGTGGCATATTATGTCAGCTGATGAGGTCCCCATGCTTTCAGGTGGATGAATTAAATTAAACCCAAGTGTGGTTTAAATAACTAATCTTAATCTGGATTTAAGTGAGTATATAAGGTGAGAAATGTCAATAAATTCTTTTAAAGTTTGTTTTAAACATTTCTTTTTGTGTGTACAATTATTCCTCTACTTACAGAGGGACAGTGGTCTCAAAGGTATTAACTTTATTTAAGCTTTATAAAAGATCTCTCTTTTTCTATTTGTTTGTTTGTTAGTCTGCAAAAGCAGAGAATTAAGTGGAAAATCATCATATATAAAAGCAACGGATGGTAGTGGTGGTGGTGAGATGAAAGCTGGAGACCCCAGAAAACTGGCAGATGCACTTTTTGGGGCACCAGAGAATCATCTCTAAATGTTTGCTGCATGCTTTTTGCCTCAGCTGTGAAATAAATCTCAAACTACCTTATCTGATATTGTCTATTGGTTATGCTGGTTTTAGGCTATTAACATCATTAGCATTCTTTCTTTCTTTGCTGATATGTACCTAAATACTGTCTAAAACCAAAACATAATCATATATATTAGGGATTTTAAATAGGTTACTCTCTGAGACTATAATAGAGCATTCTGTTCTCTTCCCATCCATATCCTTCCTTCCAGCTTACCCTCACACAAGTTCTGTTGTGTTTCTTAGGCTTTGTTAAAGCTTCACTCAAGAAAATTATCATCTTTGGTTTTACTTTCTCATCTGACTTTCTGCAGTAGTAAATATTTGTACTTTTTTGCCTTTTTTAAGGATCAGAAGAAAATAAAACTTAAAGGGCACTTTCTTTTTGTTACAAAGGCTGCCTTCTTGGTACTTCTGATCAACTTTAGATTAAGTTTACAAGTCCAGTACAATCTTCTGTAAAATCTAAGTTTGGAAAGACAAGAATTTTTTTCATGGAGAATAATTAAAAAATTAAAATATACTGCTAAAATTCTGCTTCCATATAATGAATTAGCAAAAAAATGGGCACCATAAGTTTATTGTCTTCCACAGTTAAGGTCGTCACTCAAATATTTATTAGCGATTATTTTGTTAATTTTTAGTAACTTTTACCAAATCTAAATTTGAGAATAAGTGTAGCCTGGTCATGTCACTTTGAATATAGTCACCATTCTTCAGTGACATAGTTAAAAATATTCAATAGATTAGAATTCTTCATTTGCTTTAGTCATCTCAAACAGTATGATATTTTTAGTTCAATCTATTTAGCAGCAGCCAAGCAGTTAAGGGCAGTAACTCTGCAAATCAGGATAGAAGAAATAGAACCTATTTAACTAGGGAGAAGTCTAGTGAAAGAATCTCCATGTATACTCTGATTATTTTCATTATCTTTTTTCTTCAGTGCTACATACAAATATTTCATATATCAGTGAACTTACACATGTAGTCTGAGCCATTTTAAAATACTAAGTGACAGTTGATTGAAATTTGAGATGCATGTAATTACTAAACCAGAGGCTTCCTTGGTTCACTTGAAATGCATAGTAATCTAACTGGTTTTAACTTTTGGTGTTTAAAAGTGTAAAAAAAAATATGCTGTGGCTATGTCAGATCCCTTTTGATGAAAAAAAAAGAAAAAATGGATTACATTTGTCAAGGTATTTTTAGTTTCACTGCTTGCCCATGTTATTTAATCCCTAAAATGTTCTTACAGCTGGGTTTGGGGTGACTCAAATGGTATGTCTAAGGGGAAAATACCATGTTTACTGTTTGCCATGTGAATGGGTTCTGTGAGTCGTTCTGCAGAAAAAGGATCTGGGGGCCGTGGTGGGCAGAAACTTGAATGTAAGTCATCAGGGTGCTCTTCAGGTGGTTACGGTTAACTGCATCCTGGCTATGTGTGTCATGAAGACCATAGCTAGCAGGCGTAGGGAAGACTATTCTCCTCTACTCAGCACGTGTGAGGCCCTGTCTGCAGTACTATGTCTGGCTTTAAGGCCCCTGGTACTAAAAAGATTCTAGAGTGAGGTACTGAGATGGCTATGGAGCTGGAGCCCTGATGTGTGTGGGAGGGAGGCTAAGGAGCTGTTCAGGCTAGAGAAAACTAAGAGGGGATCTAACTGCTCTCTTCAAGTACCTAAAGAGGATCTGTGTAAAAGGTGGAGCCAAATTCTTCTCTGAGATGTACAATGAGAGGACAGAAGGTAGTGGCCCTAACTATCAGCAAGGGAAATTATGACTCTCTATAGGGAAAACATTTTTAATTGAGAGTGGGCAACCTGGTTCTTGGGTTTGACCAGAAAAACTTCAACCCCAGAGATGTTAAAACCTCACCTTAAATAATTCCCTGACCAGGACTTTGAAGTTAAATCTAATAGAGCAGCAGATTGAACCTAATGACATTGATAATTGACTAATTTCCAAAAGTGGCCTGACTGTGTGTACAGATTTGGTCTATAATTGGAAGACCAATTTTAAGTCTTTCTTGAAGGGCTGCACTGTTATCCACCATACGCATTGACCTCAAAATTGGTTACAATGTGTGTACAGAGCTGGATAACCCAGCAGAAGTCTGACCTTCAAGCCTCTTCCAGGTCCAGTCAGATCAGGTATGCTGTAAGTATACATATTAGGGTTAAATCAAATTAATGTTTACATTACAAAATTCCATGGACTTACCATATATACCTTGATCCTTTCCTTTGAAAAACTATTCATTGTTAAATGATTTACTTCTCTCTGCAAATGGATTACTCAGTCTTTTGCTGTCTTTTCTGTTGTAGAGAAGAACCAAAGAAGATACTTGGAAAACAGAAGAACTTAGGAAACATCTTAGGGTGATTTTATTTTATTTCTACTAGTTTTGATGTTAAGTTACCTTACAGCAGTGGAATTTATTCATGGTCTAAACATAGAGGGTTGACTGTTCTACTAGACGTTCTGCCATCTGGTATCTATAATAGCTCTTTAAGGCTTTTTGCTACACCAGACACTTTAAATCTGCATCATTGAATATAAAAAGTACAGATCTTTCATGTGTGGTTGCTAACTTCCTTGCCACAACTGACTGTTCTGGCATGTGTCTAGTCCAAGTGTGTCCAGAGGCTGGCCCACTCAACTGTTTCTAGCTACACAAGTCACATAAGATTACAGATTTCTTAATTAGGTAAATGGAAAAAATACCATTGTTATGGTAATCACACAGCACACAATGGGGTCTGATTTGCTGGCCACCCAAATCCAAGTTACAGCTCTGCTTTATATATAGTTATTCACTTTCCTACATGTATATTATGTATTGTATTTGTTTTCATCCTCTATCATGTTTGTCATGCACTTTTAAACTGGTTGATGACTTTATCTGCTGGTCAGATAGGCATTCAGGCTCCAGTCAGTTACACCACTGATGTTCATATTAATTTTGTGCTATATTTTTTTAAAAACTGTTTTCTAATATGTATCTTCTTTTCTATGGTGTGTCCAGATCTGCATTAGTCCTTTGATAAACAAAAGCATCTTACTTGTTAATCTATTACCTACCTTTCTATCAATAACATTTCAAAGCTCTCCATTATTTCAGTGCCAGTGCTACAGCATAATTACTTGGTATTTTTTAGACATTCAGTAACATTACTACTACTTCCATGTGGGCTAAAGCAGACAAATTTGAGTTGAAGTGCTTTAGTTCCAACAGAAGTGGTGTGGTTGAACTTTCATTTCTGTGAAACAGATGGATAAAGTTTAATTTACTTTACTCATTGACTATAATCAAAGCAAGTTCTGTTTGTTCTGCATTGAGTAAATAGCTCTAATTGTGGATGTGGTGAAATCAGTGGGAGTTACGCTACTTGCTTCAGGAAGGTTAAGATATAATCTCTTATGACTTTAGAAAAATGTAAGAATAGTTGCATCCTCAAGGGATCGAGGCCAAAAACTTTCTTTCATAGTTCTTACATGCTGCTTTCTGTTCAAGTAAAAGCTAATCTTCTGTTCTAAAGTCAGCTGCAGGATGCCCAGTTATCTATCATTGCAGTTTATATCTGTAACATATTTTACAAGACGGCACAGTTTCTGTCTATATGAGCTAACCGCTTTAAGATGTTTAGTTAATTTTTCAACCTGGCTCTAAACAGAATGCACAGCTCCACAGTAAATTTTCTTTTTATATACGCAATTCTTTTCAAATACATTGAAAATGCAGCTTATTATTTATTTAATTTATTAGTTCTTTTTACAATAGGTACAGAAATAGTGTTAGTGATTTTACAAAGTAAGCCTAGAAATATGTCAGCATTTTAATACAGTTTGGGAAATTAAATTCACAGTTAGCAATCCACTAATTTTTTTTTCACATGAATATACTATATAAAAATAGTTTGCTGAATTATAATAATGGATTTGTTTAATTTTTTTTTATTTCAGCCATCACAACCAGATAGTCAAAATGAAGACCAAAAGCACAGAGAAAAGAAACTGCAGAAAGAGAAGTCTGTTTATGACACAGACACTCATAAACATGAACGCAAAGACAGAGGGAAGAGCAAGGAAAGAACGAGAGAGAGAGAGAGGTTTAAATCTGGTGAAAGGGACAGGGATAAAATGAGAGAGAGAGAAAGGGGAAAAGAGCACCAGAGGGAAGGAGACCGAGAGAGATACAAAGCTAAACTTCAAGAGTCAAGTTTGGAGAAGGAAAGATACAGTGTACCAAAAGATAAAGACAGGGAGAGTGATAGAGAACGAGACAAAAAGCATAAAAGACATGAGATAAAGCAAATAGATACACAAAATAATCTGAAATTGTTTGAAGGAGGGGATAAAGAACATCACAGAAGAAAAGAAAGCAGGCATCATTTGGGTAAGTTGCTTTGGGTTGCTGTTGTACTTTGAAATATTTGATATTTAGATAGAAATACTCTGAAACCATACCCCATCTGTACAGAGACAATAAAGACAGGCATGTGTGAGTACCTGCTAGAATGTATATCTTTACAGAATCTTGTGGTAACCCAGTTTTATTTTGCTTTTAAAAATTTTGATGCTCATTTCCCTCCCTTTGAAGAGAGGGTGAATGTCACTGTTTTTGTTGATCAGTTGACTTGAAGAGAATAAGTACCTTCCTGCCTAGACATTCTCTACCGAGTGATCCATTTGAATCCCCAAGTTGCAGGGTGATTTCTGAAGTTAGTAGCATGTGTCATTACTTCTACTGTTACACAAGACAATTGAGAACAGAGGGATTCATTACGACAGAAAAAGGAGTAACCAACTTTGGAGGGAGAATTTCAACAGAATATTAAGTTATTTTTAGAAAGCTTTTATGTTTTAGAAAACCCATGTCACTAAAATACTATTTTCTACATGCTAGAGTTAATTATGTACAGAGTTTGAATATAATAAAATTTGTTCATTAATTTATACATATATTTTCTAGAGGAGGAGAAAACAAGAAGTAAAGAGCGAGAAAGAAGACATACAGAAAAGAAGGTAAAGGAAGGAAAAGGAATGAAGTGTTTCATAATGGAATAAGATTAAACTGTAGAATAATGAAGAAACTGTATCAGACTCCAGTTCCCAAGAAATCCAAGAGATACATAGATAGTAAGGTCCTCACAAGTGTACAAAACACACAACAACAAAATATATCTGAGCCATTCTGTTTCAAGGACATACTTGATTCTTTTTTTAAAGGAAAAGTAAAATAAAATTTGCATAGCAAAGTGCTTTATTTTTGTACAGCTACATCAAAATTTTCCATCTGCTATTTATGCCTTTATTACAAGGATATTGGTAACTATACATCCTATTTTATGGTAGACCACCTTGTAAACAAAGGATTAAATTTTTGTGTGAAGAGTACATAATCCAAAGAATCTTCTGTAGCAAAGTACATGATGTCCCAGAAGAAACATCAGAATCGTAAGTGATATGATAATTTGAAACTTGCCATCGTAGGAGATTTTTAAAAAATAGCTGGAAGATCCATGTGGCAGAAAGAGATTAGGTACTTACAAATCCATCATTCTAATGGTCAAAAATGGATAGATTTGTGAAGATAAAACAGTCTTGGAGAATTTTCTAACTCTTTAATGTTATTTTTCTCTTTCCAGGATAATGATACCAGAAAGAGCATTGACAAATTTTTAGCCTACAAAGTTGAAGAAGCTGAACGTGTACACAAGTTACAGAAAGATCAAGAGTTGGATAAAGAAGGAGAAAGAAGGCACAGAGAAAAAAAAGAACGTTCTGTTAGGTTGGGAAAAGAGAGGCTTTCAAAAGAGAGAAGTCATAAAAGTTATGAAAAGCAAGAGGAAGAAAAACATAAATCAAAGAGATCTAAAGAGGGATCTTCCTATGGAGACAGAGAAGGGCAACTAGCAGAAGCTAATGAGAGAGTAAAAAGTAGAGAAGATGAAAGAAAGAAGTGTGATCTAAGGGTTAGTTTTGTTAAGACTTTAAAACATTACCTTATAACTTACTTTAATTGTTCATATATCATCATTGATAAGGTGAATAATAAACACACTAGGATTGTAAGTCAGTATTTTCTGAAATTTCAGGCTAAGGTGGTAGATTAAAATATTACATCTGCATTTAAGTATCCTAACCCAGAAATTTAAACTAGAAACTTGTCTATATGTTAGAAACTTCTTTTATTCATAGAAGTCTTTATTGCTATGACTTTTGAAATTTTTACCAACACTTTGAAGTGGAGATGAGATTAGGCTGGAGGTTCATTAAAATGTATTGGCTGCCTTCATAGAAACAAAATATGATTTTAATAGAAGCTATTTTCTATGTTGCTTATAAAGGGAGTGTGGCTGTCTAACTCACAAGTAGGCACATGAGTATAGATCCCTTATATTTATGGGTTTTGCCTCTACTTCTGAAGCCATAGAATATCTTTTATGTTTATAATATGGAGCATGATGTTATATCCTAGAGACTTAATCAAAACTTTGTCATTTTTTAGTGGTTTTTATAATACAAGTATGCATTCTACAAGAATGAGAGAAGGAATATATAGTAATTTATAACTCTTGCAATCAGGTAAGTTTTATGGAACGTGGAACCGTTCAGATGGTCTAGGGTAGTTTCTGCTGCTGCCTAAAGAGTAAAGATGTACAAGCTTCTCAAAGAAAAGTTCAGAAGTGTATTTTCTAGTGAAAATACTAGGCATCTTCACAGTAGGAGCCCACCACAAGTGATTCCTGTGACTGACATTCTGCAGCAGAATTCAAAAGTCTGTCAGGGGCTTGCTCAAGGTTTGACTTCCTTGGAAATGTACTCAAGTAGCTGTTACAGAATATATGCACTGATGCTGATGCTTCTGTCTCAGAGTTATGTTTCTTTTTCTGATGTTCATGGATAGAGAAAAGCCCCTTTATCTTCAACAAGCTATTGAATACATTTCCAAACTTAGACAAACCTTCCTAATACAGAATTAAAGAGTCAAGTCCCTATACTGGGGATTAAAAGTGCCTGAGACTGTTCTCTGGCCCTGGGTCCAACTGGTGTGAATTGTTGCAGTCTATGCTGTTAAAATCTCATTCTTTGAAACAGGCTGGCCACAGCCTACTGAGGTCAGCCTTTAGTCCCTATCAGTTTTTCAGCCACACCTAGGGGTGTTTAGGAAAGTGCTCTGGGCTCACAATTTAAGCAGTATACACTGGGCCCAGAGCATTTTTTAACCATTGTTACTAATATACTAATGTGAAGGTATCCTACAAAAAAGCTGGAATTTACTCTGGTAAAGCATTATAAGGTCTTGTTAAGCAAAGAAGATTCAAGATCCCTTCTTGTTTCCTTTCTGAAATGCATTGCAGAAGGGGATGTAGCCAAACTTCACTCCCAAGTATTTAATATTTTCAGGAGAAGGTCATATTATGTGTATAGCATATCTTTTATGTGTGTTTATTTTCTTTGCTTACCATATTTGTAAGGAGATTATTCTGATGTTAGTTCATACACAGCACTTCTCATAAGCAATGAGTGATAAAAAATAGTAGGTGTTGTTTAAATAATTCATTAAAAACCTTTCTTACTGTTTAGTATCACTACTACTAATACAGGTTCATACACATATTTCCTCTGAGCATTTCTGACACATGAATATTGCAACTTCTTTTGCAGAACAAAAAAGAGGAGAGGATTCAAGAAGAAATGAGCCATCAGTGTGTCAGGTAAATTCAGAGATTTAAAATAAGTATATACTGTATGGTATCTACTAAGATTCAGTCACCACCAAAACAATAAGCATGAATTCTTCATCTCAGATACCTAGGGTGAATATAATTTTTTTCATAGGCCCTTTGTACGATACTATAGCAATTAAAAAAAAAAAAAAAAAAATCGGTGTTTTGCCTCTAAGAGGATTCATATAAAAATGTATGTGATTGTATTCCATTTATATATTTTTTTTCTACCCCAGGATAGCAAGAGATATTTTGCAGTCCTTGCAAACTAGATATATATTAATCTGGGCACTTAGTTTGGGAGACAAATATGCTGTATTGTACCACCTGGAAATTCACTATGCAGTCACGTGGACACATGTATTGTTCATGATGAACTACATAGGACTCTCTTACATTGTTTATTTTAATTTGAATATCTCTTAGTTCCTACTCTGGATGGTATCTAAAACATTAGATACATATAGCAAGTTTACTGTTGCATGTGAAAGGGAGAGGTCCAGGTCATCCTCAGTAGGATCAGAAAAATTTGGGGATGATATTTCTGTTTTATTACTAGCAAATATAAAATCTTCCAGAAGTTCTATATGTATTCTAGTTTTCTTTGCATTCTTTAATGCTTCAGCCATGTGAAATTCCTATACAACTTTCTGAAGTATAACTCTCTGGGTATGTTGTCAGTCACAGTTCTCATTCTTAAACCCTAGTTTAGCTTCCTAGCTAAATAGAAGACTGACATGCTGGCTTCCGGGGACGCTGACAGAGATAGTGAAATCACTACCAATATTGGCTAAGTATTATTACTGTTTCTTAAGCATGGGGACAGATGACTTCAGTCGTAGTGAATTTCTCATTGTGGAAATGTATTCCTGTACAAAAGGAAAAAAATGAAATATTTCAGAACACATATGTTGGATTGCTTCCTAACAGCAGCACTCAACTGTGTCAAGCAGTGCAGAATATACAGGTTATATTTTGAAGCTGTTGGTGATGGGGTATTGTGGGGGAGTCATTGCTTGTGCATAACTGGGAAAAAGGACTTAGCCATTTCTGAATGGGAAGGAAGGCAATATGGTTTATTGGGATGTCCCAAAACCCTGGGTCAGCCTCGAGCACTTCACATTGAATGATTCTGATTTGTTATGAGAGGATCCAGCCAAATTTTTATTTTTATTGTTGCCTTTTCTTATGTTCATCAGTCCCAACAGCAGTGTATATGAATACCCTCTTACTTAAGAAGTCAGAACATTCTCTTCTTGAAATCTGATACTCTACTTGTAAAATAATCTAATAGATTGTTAAGGAGCAGAGCTGGTTGTTGATTTTCTCCTGCTCTTTGCCCTTCATTGTATTGTCCTCATAAATAAAACCTCTGAATGAAAGACCAGGTTTGAATGTCAGTCTATGATTTATAGCTTTATAGCACATTACACCAACCTGATCTTGATCTCCAGTTTGCTGCAGATATTAATGCAACTAATAGATATGTGGGTTTAACAGGCTTTTTCCTCCTTACTTTTTCTTCCGTTTTGATGCAATTATAGGCATTAAATTTGGACAATGTTTTTGCAGTTTTTAGCTGATTAATCACTTGGCTGTTTCATTATCATTTTGTATCATAAATAGAGATCTGTAAAAGCATTTGTAGAAATATTTCAGTTTACTGGAAATTTTCAACTATTTTTTACTTTCCAGAAAAAAAGACCTGTTTTTTCAAAAACAACCCCCCCCCCCCCCAAAAAAAAACAAAACCAAGACAAAACTAGTGCTTTCTTCTGAGTTAACCAATAAAATTGATGTTCTCTTTTTCAACAGGACTGCAAAAGGTAAAGGAAAACTCATTGAAAAAGAGGAAAGAGACACAAAACAAGAGGTAAAACTATTTGGTTTTGAAACTTAGAATGTTGCATTTTTCTTGGAATTAATAACAATTACAATATGTATTTCAATATAATGCTATCATAAGATAAGATTTATGTATATTGGTCTTCAGGTATCTCCTAACCTCTCTTTCTGGATACAGCATTAGAAAATTGATTTGTTATGTATAAATTTGCTAAGCGTTGAAGGTAGCGATCTATTCAACTGTATTTCAGTATCTTCTATGCTTGAAAAAATAATTCTCAGTAAGTGGGAAGAGTTTAGATGTGTAATACAAATCACCTACATGTACATAAAGTATATTATTTCTTTCCATAAACAGCTGACATAGGCAAATAATATGTAGTGTAAGCCAACTGAAATGCAGCTAGCAATATAATTCATATATGTCTCTTAAAACAGTTGCCATAAGAAAGAAGTATTTGTATATGTTTAAATGGACAGGTGCAGAAAGAACCAAGTTTTCAGCAAGTGTGAAGTGCAAGCTGTGTAGACTTGAGTTTATTTGGGCCAGTCTTTGCAGATACAGCCTAACTTTACCATTAAAAGCTTTAAAATATTTTGTCATATTTTTCAACCATTTGTAACCATCCCCCAAAATCCAGATTCTGTTTTGGAATGTTGTAGGATTATGGTCCTGATCTAGGAAAAAGTAGTAGTACCTAATGAAGACATTCTTTTCCATATTCTCATGTTATGGGCAGCCATGTATCTTGCATATATCTTTCAGCCATGTATCTTTCAAAACCATACTAACTTCTGTAAAACCTGGCTGTTTTCATGCCAGAAATACTTCTCTTTCAAGGAAGTTGTAAGACCTCTGTTATTCTTTCCTTCTAATTTCCAGTATGTTTCCATTATTGTTCCTTTACTGCTAGCATTTAGCTCAAATACTTTTTTAGGGTTTTCTTCCCCTAATGAGCTTATAGAAAGATGTTTGTGTCTTCTCTGACTTAATTTTGCTGACGTGTGCAAGCCAAATTCTTCATTCCTCTCATCATTCTAGCAGCTGTCTCTTTGTCTGTTTCAATTTGCATTAATTTTTCTTTAATATGGGTGACCAGAGTTGAACACAGTACTGAATGTGAATGTTCATCAATGTCTTCTGTAATACTGTACATGACATAAATACTTATTTGTTCCAGAAAGAAGTAGCTTTCTGACATATTCTTAAATTTAGTCTGCACAGCTCTTACCACTGTGGCCAACAGTCATCCTGGATCAACTATGTTAAAACTGTTTTCTTCCTCTGTTGTTTCCAACAGCTGAGGTTCCAAGTAGCAGCTGGCATTGATGCTAATCTTTAAGGCCCAGATTCAGCTTACCTTTAGGTGTGAATTGTTTGTGGTGAGGACCTAAATTTCCCTAAATTTCCTTTGTAGTTTGTGAAGAGAAATAGGCAGTACAGTCCTTTTGTATTTGGTCTCCTTTTTCACTATCTTCTCTGTCTTCGTTGGCAATAGGAGGCAACCTAGGAGGGTGAGTTCCCTACTGAAGAACTGATTCAACAGGGATAATTAAATCAAATTCCATGGGTTTGCACTTTACACTGTTGAATTTCTTCATATATATTTGTTACTCCAAATACCACAGTCATCCAGGTATTCTACCATGACTTCCTAATCCTGCTTTGTATTGACAATATATTCTCCATATATTCCTCAAAGTAGGAACCTAGCTGTGATAGGATGATTCTGATTTCCTATGAGAATGTAGGAGGTTCTTATGAGGACAGTAAGATTTTCACAACTACTGACAGGTGGAAGTTTTTAGTGTGTAAAAACTACGTGTGTAACAGATGCAGTGTTATAAACATCTATGTTATTAATAAAAATGACGGCTCTATAGGCATGTTCAGAGATGATTATAGTAAGGTAATAAAGACTATGACCATCTTTTTGGCTGTATTGCTACATGTGTCTGACTAAATGGAATAAGAAATTTAAAAAAGATTCTATATGAATTATTTACTGCTGGGTACCTGCAACCTTGCAGGCAGAACAAAGTGGGGAAATTTTGCCCAGCTTTGGCCAGTTTTGCCTGGATGGACAACCCGACTAATATAATTTATTCTTGATCCAAAGATTGATCTGAGAAATGACAAAAAGCAGCAACCAGAAAGACTGAAGTACTGTAGTCCTAGTTCTAGAAGTCTGATGACTGGAAAGTAAGATATCTATAGAAGCTGTTTACTGCTATATAATGTCCTTAATACTTTTGAAAGTACTACATTCTGTGAAGACTAGGTAACTCTAGCTCTTGAAGAGTTGTGAAGGGATCAAAAGCGTGCCTAACTTGGTGATTGACAAACAGCTGGTATCCTTTGGTTGTAACTGTAGAAGCAGGTAATAGGTGTGCTATTACACTGGAAAATTTTCATAAAACCTCACATTTATTTCTTTTTTTAAATCTGTTGAAATCCCTTACATGTGGATAATTTAGCCTGACTTTGAAGAGGCTATTGAGGGAAAAGGCTGACTAAAGATTGGATAGATCAGTGTGTGTCATATTAAGCTTTATGTTTGTTTGGGGTATATGTTGGGGTAATTAAATGGCATTATTTTAATCAAGTTCAGTAAACTAGAGAAAGGCAATTTCTTTGAATTTATTTCAGGGATGCCATAAATCTTATTCCATGTAAATACAGTAGAGGATTCAATGTTAACAGAATCATTTATGTATAAAAATATCTTATTTTCCTGTTGTATCCATGTCTCTGTTTTCCCAATTCCAACATCTGCACTATTTTATTAATGGATAGAGTCCCCCAGTGTAACTTAGGTATAGGGATAATTTTGTCTAATCCTTGAAAAAGTAGAACAGTCTTGTCTTGTTACTCCATCATAACAGCTACTGTATACTACTGAAATTATAGGCAACACAGCAGTTTTTACATCTTTCCCAGTAAAAATACTGATAGGAAAACAGTTGGTCTTTCCAAGATGGGGTTGAATTCTGTTTTGTCTTCCTGTATTATTATTTTAAGTCAGTAATTATCACTTGTCAATATACTTCTGTTTATATTTCTAAACTGAATTTGTTGTATGTTTGCTTGAAAATGGAGAAATATCTGAGAAGAACAACTATTCATTTTATCTTTATGCTAAGATTTGGCAGATAAAGATTTAATTTTTTTGTAAGATTATTTAACAATTTCATTTCTTTTCCTCATTTAGGAAATGAAAGATACATGCACCTATAATTCAGACATGGGTTTTGATAACTTTTCAGCAAATTATGAAGATGATTTTGAAGTAAGTAGAAGCATACAATTGTCCTTTTGAAGTAATTCTCGTGTATCAAAATAGTGATTACAGTAGATGGTTTTTATTTTTTTTTTCGTGACAGTGACCTTAACTTGGCTAACAGTAGGTAACAAGTAACTAAAATGTTATGTAGAAACTCTCTGCTGTATATTTACTTAGTTTTCATCAGGGGTTGGGAACCAACTTCTGCTTTTGAGTTGAAGTCTTCACAAGACCCTCTTTCTGTCTTCTTGGATTTCAATTATTTAAATGGTTTTCTGTGAAAAAAATGCTGAATTTCTTTAAATAATGAGAGGAAATAATCAATTTCAGGAGGGAAAAAAAAGCCTCATTGATTTTCATTGCAAAAATATCGTAGAAAAAAATATTGACAGACAGCAGTCCCTTCACTAATTTGTTTAATTGAACTCTTTTAGCTCTCTTTTGTTTACTTTAAAGTTATTAAGATAGAAGAGTGTGTTGAATGTGGTTTCATTGCTAGTGGAACCAGGTACATCTTTGTTCAGTGAAGCTAGAATTCATCTCCACTTATGTTAGGAGTGATGTCCACTGTTGAGCTGTTCACTATAGTAGCCCTTTAGCATTCAGTGGAGAGAAAAGAGCACATTTAAGACTTGTTCCTATCATTTGTGTTAGGTGATTATTTTAGCATGAGACGAATTGTCTTAGTTAAAAGAATTATGAAAGTATGAGCCTTATGAGTGGACTTGCAAACAGATAGTGTGGTAGTCTAGTAAATTGAATGGCAGCATGAATTAAAATTATCAAATAAACAACTTTATACATCTTTATACATAAGCATTTATGCCACTGAACACTGTCATTTTATTTCTTTAAAGAATACATAATTCACCTAAACATATAATTCCTACTTTAGGATATTTAAAAAAAATAAATTAATCTATTTGGGGCACTGAAGAACAACACCATGGGATTGTCTTCTCTTGATTGAAATTACTGCACAATCAAGGCATGCCATTTTCTTTCTATCAAACAGTTATTTTAAAATACCTTTCAGCCAGAGGATTTATAGCCATCTGTATGAGAATTTTATTTTTATTTTGACAGCATTTTGTAATTTCTTAAAAAGATCTTGAAAAATACATCTATAATCCATGTTTATTAGTTATTGAAAGTCCTGTTACTTTTAAAGGATTATGAAGATGATTTTGATGATGATGAAGACAAAAGTGGTGAAGAAAGAAATGCAGAAGAAAACCTAACAGAGATTCCATTTTCCAGAATATCAGAAATTGAAGAAATTCAAAGAGCAATTAGTGCAGAAAATGATAGAATTTGTACTTCACTGCCAAAGAAAATTGAAAGTGAAAAAAAGGAACCAATCATGGGTATGTGACTAGATACCAGTCTTTTTTTATTAAATGTATGAATAACACGTACAACTTAATGAGTAAACAGGCCACTTTCTCTAGAAGTCTGCCTAGAGGCAGAAATCTGGTCCTCTGGATGAGTCACTCTAGGTTTGTTGGTAAGTACTGTAACTTTCATATTGCTAAAGAATGATTCAGAGGCATTACTAATCATTTAAAATGTGAAGTATAAAAATTTACAGACTGACATTTAATATATCTTATTTTGGGTAAGAGGAGGATATGAGAGTCTGGATTTTGAAAACTGGAGGAGTGCTAGAACAGTTTGGGGCTTCCGGTGACATTAGTTCACCTTTTTCTTTTAAGTAGAGGTGAAGCCACTACTCTGGATGGGAAAGTGAGACAAATACAGATACTACTTAAATATATAGTTCTATATCACTTTTGAAAGGCAGTTTTTTTCTGAAATGTGACTATGGAATTGTTGTCTTGTATTCAGTTGATCTGATACCTGTGAGTGCCAGATCTAGTTATTTAACTATCTACAGCTGTGGTTCCCCTTAGCACGCTCCACTCATGTGATCGGCAGTATAGAATCATTGTGCAAAAGAATCTTAAACAGCTTTTTATTCTTGTTCATATAAAGTTAGTATAGTCACAGAAGAAGAGCATGGAGTTTCTGTAAGTCTTTACAGTATCAGTCTGTTAAGTAGTCAATTGCAAGTCAGAACCAGTATACTGTAATATGAATTTCTTCTTCCAGAAGATTTATGCAATTATTATTATTTTTCTGATAAACAATATGGAATCAATAAAAGAATTCCATTAATACTATAGATCTAATGAACAGGATGGGATTCTAATACAAAATTAGATTTTTCAGTTCTGAATTGTAGCACTTTATTGTAAATTGCACAACATTCTTTTTGATGAAGTTTTGATCTTGTTTGGTTAAAATGGTTGTTGATCATTTTGGTAATGACTTTTAGAAGTTTAAAAGCATTTTACAAGTATTATCTAAAAAGGCAGTCTTCCTCTGTGGAAGTGAAACACCACTGGTCCTGACTGGAAGTTGGATATTAAGGTCAATTAGCTACCACCTAGCCAGAAAAGGGAGTAAAATCGACATGACATCAGATACTGTAGCTGCCCCATTAACTATGGCTTTTAAAGCAACAGTTTTCAATGTTTTGCTTATTCAACTAAGGGCATCAGTTAAACTTGTGTTGATGAGGTTCTCCACCTCAGTGGCTGCAGTGATGGATTCTTATTTAGACGTGTAGCATGCACATGGTATAGTCTGCGTGAATTTGATATGATTTTTGGAATTGGTCATAGAGCATTTTACTGTACACAGGGGAACAAGGAACCTGCTAATGGCAGGAGAAAGAAAGAGGCACTTTCTGCATTATAGTCTTCTAAAATAAAAATTACAATGGTCAGTCATTTTAAGTTGATCGGTAAAGGACCATAATAAGGGAAAAATGCTGGCCTATTACTGATGTTAAGAAGCTTATTGTACTGATAACTGTGCTAGAGCACATTGTGTAATGTGCAAACTAGTAACTTTTAGTAGCTGCGTCGTAATAAATCTGTTGCTTTTTAGACTTACTGCTTTACATTTTAATGCACTGTAAAGTGTGAATTATAACACTAACAATGTTTTATAATATCACAGAAAGGCAATACCCTTCTGTCAGAAACTCTTTTTGTGGAATATTCATGGATTTTCAAATGGCAAACCAACGACAGAGTAGCCGAAGTATGGCTAGTAAGCAGAAGTAAGTGTATTTTAAATAATCCACACAAAATGGCAACTCACTGAGAGATGTAATTTTTTTCACTATATTTGAAATATGTGAAGTTTATAAACTTCAGGCTTTTAGAGTCAAATATTATTTTGTAAGCTAACAGTAATTAGTTCTTAAGTAAATAATTTACAGGCTCTGCTACATGTCATTTATAACAGAAATTTATCTACATATCAGTTTATGGGTATAATTTTATTACAAAATGAGTTGCCAGGATTGTCATTTCATTGTATGATTCTTCAGCCACTTAATTAGATATTGATTTGCAGTACTAAAGAGCAAGCCTTTTAGCTGCTCTTAGGGCTCTGCAGAACTGTAATTTCTTGAAATAGTCAAGAATCTATGGTACACAGTGTTGCCAAAATAGCATGTTCACTTTCAGGGATAACAGCAGTTGGTGTAAAAACATGTTATTACTGATCTAAAATTGATCTAGATTTGATACATATAAGACGGCTCTGTATTAAAGAAACAAATTGATGCCTGTTTGTTGTGGAACTTGCCAGGAGCTCCAAATTTATCTTGAAGCGCTGTATATATCTCCAATTTTCTGTTACAGCAAATGGACGCATATAACAAGAATATTAAATTTTACTGATAGCACTAGATTCCACTGCTTTGTGGCTGCACATCAGTGGCTAATCTTCATGTAAGGGAGATTTTATTGTCTAGGCTGTCTAACTCACCTAAATTTACATGCCCAAATTTTATGTGAGTTCATTGTCTAGGCTTCCTCTCTAGACAGTGGAGACAAATTAGGAAATTCAGGAAGGCATCTTTGTGAAGAATTGCCTTCTGAAATGTTTGTCAGCCTCTACTGATTATGTACTGTGACTGATTATGACTATGTACATAACTGTGTGTACATGCTAGCAACATATATAGCCTGTGAAGATAATTAGCATTTTCATGGAAAGAGAAAGGGTTTGTGGAATTTCATGCTGTGATAATGCATTGTTACCATTAAATAGACTGAAAGGATCCCATAAATGAGCTGTGACACTTTGGATTTGTGTGTATTAATATGAGGCTTATTAGTTTATTTTAAGGATTTGTCTGCATGTATCATTAAGATTCATAACTAGGAAGCAACTTTGATACGTTTGAATTAGATCTCAGCAATCTGTGCCCAGTGTTTGTGAAGAGGTGATGTATTAGGAAGTGGAAGTAGAAGTAAAAATAAAATGCGGGTAAGAAAATGCAATAGATGTCATCAAGTAGCAAAAAGGAGATGTGAAAATTGTCCTTACGCATAAAGAAAAATCCAGCCTAAAATACTGGAGGAGAGATTCCACCTAATGTTGCTCTAGTCTTTTCCCTTTGCAAAGACTATCTTACTGAGAAGAAACTGCAACTAGAATATGCATCTGTAAGACTGTTTAGATATAGATCTGCTACAGACCCATAATTGTATCTGGGTTGTATTTATATTAAGTATACAAAAAAAATCCCTTAAAGTGCAAGAGAGAGAAAGGGAGACTACAAAAATTTTCTCATTGTCAAGGAATCTGTACTATAGCAAGAGCATGGAATTAATCTGTAAACAGACGTCTGTATGTAATTCAAGCAGTTAACTCTTAAAATATCATAAGTTTTATGACATTTAATAAGATAGTTATGTGAATTGTGGCAAAGATTGACTGTCTTTTCATTATCCACACATCCATACAAGTGGAGTGGTAGGAGTCTCTTTGTAGTTGATGATAATAAGTAATATCACACAAATGTTTTAATATCACGCAAATGTTTTTTACTTGTCAGAATAAGGTACGGTATATGAAGGTAGACTTGTTTTCCAATTAAGAATAAAAATATAGTTTTATTTGTGAGCAAAGATGAAAAAAGTAAGAATTGAGGTAGGCAGAAGGTAAAAGGATTGAGGGAAGCTGGATAAGGCAGTTAAGGGATTTCTTTATCATTCCAGCAAGGGCATTTAGGAAGATAGAAGGGTTTAGCATTTTATAGGACAAAGAGATTCGGGTATCTCAAATACTGTACAATGTGCTAATCTTATTCAAAACAAAAAAATACAAGTGGAAAAATACATAGTCTACCTCAATCTCAAGTACTCATTTTCATACAATTTAGATCAAGTCCAATAGTCCAGTAACTGATTGGTTTTGGAGGCCTACTTTTGGGGCAAGACATCAGTATTCATGTCCACAGGTTATGAATCAGCAATAAATTAATTTCATATATATATTTAAAATATATTTTAGGATTGCTGCTATTGTTATTTGTTTCCCTAGTGATGTAAAGAGGTACAAATTCAGGCAGTCTGTTACCAGTGGAGGTGATTCAAAATACATTTGCATAAGTCTAACAAAACCAGGACATTATAGGTGATCTTTATAAAGCTTGTACACATATAGGTGATGTAAGTTAATAAAATGAGTTTAGGAGAATTAGCCACCATCCTAACTGTAGGAAGAAAAAGACATTCACCTGTTACCTCACAGAACAGCTTTTGAATAATTAGGCAAGATGGTCATGCTAGGCTTTGATGTTTGGGTTTAATAATAAACCACATAAGTTTGCCATTTATACTCAGTATTGCATTTTCAAATGTGGTAATTGTCTCAGCGTAACATTAAATGAGAACTCATAACAATATTATATGTGTTTCTATTGACATATATTTTTATCTGCCAATTAATTTTGGTACAGCTTTAATTCACATAGGTCAATGGATTGTTAGATCTCTGGAACTGTACAAAATCAGGTTGTTTTTCTTTTGGAACATCAAATACTTGGTCTTGACCATTTTTGTGTTTCTCTCTTGTAATTCATTCCAAAGAAAACGGAGTTCAGAACTTCTCCCACTAATTGATCTGGACTTCTCAGTTAGTTTTTCTTTATTGGATTTGCCTCCTGTAAATGAGTACGACATGTATATCAGGAATTTTGGTAAAATGAACACTAAGCAGGTGGGTAACAAATATGTAGTCATACTTAAATCCTGAAAGTGCTGATTCTTGTTCTGGAAAATAATTTTCTTTTGTAAAGAAAGTTACTAAAGCTAATAGGACAGTAAAGTAATAAATTAATAATTTTCCTCTCTAAACCTTAATTACCATAAAGCAATGATATCAAAACTTTTGGCCAGACAGGCCATTTCCTTTCTGTGTTGGAAGGGGACTCTCTCATGTTCCTTCCCTGTTTTCTAAAGGACTTTCTGTATGTCTGTGGCTCACTGTCCCAAGTATGCCGGGTTTAGTGTTTATGCATCATGTAAGACCTTCTGTATTTTTGCAGTAGGTCTAGCACTCTTGTGTGAAATGTGGTAAAATGCACATGCACAAAATAGTGACATTGTGTCAGTATGTTTAGATCTGAATTTACAAACAGAAGAGGTTGGGCGCATCAGATTTAAAATGATTGTGTAAGTTCTATTCAGTTACGTGCTGTCATTCTTAGCTGTGCCACCCATATATTGAACACTTTAGCTCTCTACTTTAGGCATATGTTCAGTGTAACGAGGACAATTTGGAGAGAGACATTCAGACTGAGGAAGTTGAGACATTGGAGAAATGGACACAGCATCCAGGAGAAAGTGCCCTTGTATCTGGAGGTGAAGAACATTTTACTCGTATTCATTTATGGATGTATGCATGTAAACATTCTCTTTTGTACCCATTAATTGTCAGAATTTGTAATGTGGCAGGCTACATCGACAGCAAACTGCTGTAGGCACTCTGAATCCCCTTGTGGAGGGGGTGGAGTTTAAGTGGCAGAAAATAGTTTCTTCCTTCTGGATTGCTGTTTCGGTTGGCAGCAGGTATGATTCCCCAACAGATCTTGTTGTTCACTACTGTTATTTCTGCTGAAGAGAAGTTGATTGCTGCCACTCTCCTCTTGCTTAAAAATTACATCGTTCTTATGTTTTTCTTAATTGATTCCCTTTTGAAGCTTCAAGTTTGGTTTTGTTTTTTTCTTAGGTCCCATAAACAGCCAGAATGTGTCAATGAATGGAGCTCTAACACCTAAAATTGATTCACAAAAATTAGCAAATTTCCTCCGGTCTGCTTGCCAGGTATACTTCTGTACTTATTATCCCTTACGAGTTGTATGCATAAGTATACAGTGTGATAGATCACTTACAGTACTTGTTCTGACTAATTTAAATAAATTACTTAAATAATACTCATTATCAGTGAGATTCATCTCTCTGCAAAGGAACGGAACCACTGCTCTGCAGCTTTCATGTCTGTAAAGCTGTATTTGCAAAGATATAAAATTAAGAGAGTTGATAAAGATTTATTAAATTAATCCTTTTAATTTAATCCTATTAAATTAATACTTTAGAAAGCTACAAATAGCAAAGCTGAAAGATAAGACAACCCTTTTATTTCTATAAATGTAATTATGTTTGAAAGGTGATTGCTGTTTTGCTAGAGGAAGATCAAGTTGCAGCACAACCCAGGTGGAAACTAAGATCTCGACAAACCAGTCTGTCTATTAGTGATAGCTGTTTCCAGTTAAATACTAACCAGCCATTCCTTCATGGTAAGGGAACTTTATTCTACACCTTTCAGTATACAGTGTGAACTCTTCTTCGTTATGCAAAATACCATGCTCTTTGTCATGACTGAAGTGCAAACAGCCCATGTCAGGATATATGGATGATGTAAAGCCCAATTTTCTTTTAATTACGCTAATCTTGCTGTAACTCTGTGCAGATTGGTTTCACACAGGGAACATCAGTGGACCCTAGCTGCTGTTAAACCAGAAATATAGCCAGCGAGTAGCATGATAAAGGGGTGATCTGGATGTAATTTCTTGCCCCTGTTGTTGAAGGAGCATCCCAGGTGTAATTTCATTTAGGCTCTTTATGCTGACAGTAGGGCCCAAGTTGCAAATAAAGCAAGGTTATTGAACAGGGAGAATATAGCCTGGTATATTTGAACTGCAGTTATATCTTCCCCATATACACAGTAGATGTTCAGATGAAAAGAAAAATGAAAAATAAAGCATCTGTAATTGTGTTTGGAAGACCTATCATAACAGAAAACCATACATATTCTAATATGAACACATGAGATGAATGAGAAAAAGCCTGGCCTGTGCTGTTTCCTGTTTGAGACTTAGCTTAATTTTCAGTATACATACTGATGTCAGATCAGATTGACTTGCTTATGCCCAGTATAATTATTCTATTAACTTCCTGGTTCTATTCCTTTTTGCTTCTACTTCTAATTTTTTACATTCCTTCTCTAGTCCCGCCTTTTTTCTTGTATAGCGTCAAAAGCAATCCACTGTTAATAGAAATATTCTTCATAATTACGCCTTAGCTTCTTTGGTTGTTGCTATAGCAGCTAAATATGCTTTTTCATCTGCAGGGAGTTTACTTTTTTATTTATTGCTTTTTTTTTTCTTGATTTTTTTTTAATGGTTTAGACCGAAAAATATGCTGCCTATACGTCTCTCAAGTTCAGAGGCAGACACTACTTTCTGTTCATGGATTACCTGAAAAGGCAGGTGTTGGTTTACTGAACAGGAAGAGCATCATATGCGTTTGGAACATCTGGCAGCCCTCCAGTCCTCAGAAAGTTTTAATATGTGACTCAGAGGTATGTTTTCATAACATTATATATTTGCCCATTGAATAGAAGGCTTTATTACGTGTATTTTGTTTTCTTGTCTTGCTGCAAGATATGTTATTGTTCAAGAAACACATTTGAGCCTAGTGAGCAAAACACTATTCTCACTCCATTTTGTGCTCCAGTACTAGAATGTAGTGATGGTCATGGTGGTTTGGTTTTTTTTTTTTTTTTTTTTTTTTAATTTTTACGCCATTTCATGGTTGAAGAGTGAACAATGTGAAACAGCTGGTTCAGATGTTGTCAGGACTTCTCCCTACCCATCACTATCATACAGTTTAATCACCTCCTTCAGCTTTGTGGCAGTAGGTGCAGATTACACAATTGTCTTGAAAAGGGAAAGCCTACTGAAAGTCTTGTATCCTACTTCCCTTTTCAATAAATTGTCCTTCTGCTGAAAACACTTGTAATCTGTCTTTTCTGGATTTACATGCTTAGGAAGAACAAACATATTCAGGCTTATTAAATCATTGGCCTTTATCATAATATCAACATGCATATTTTTACTGCTTAACAGGTGATATGTTGCTGCTTTAGTCCCAATAAAACAACATTAGTTTTTGCTGGAACAATAGATGGTTCATTGCTGGTGTGGGATCTTCGAGAAGACTCAAGAATGCACCCTCATATGGTGATCAGTGAAATTGACTGGACATTTAGAGTTCCAACATTTTCCACTGGTTAGTATCTATGCATTCTGGTTAGTCATTTTGTAGGCAGTGAAACAATTCCACTACTAGTTTTTCTAAGAACACATTTTCTCAGTAGCCTAGTTTAGCCAGTTCAGAGATTATATTTAGTCTACTAAAAACTGCCAATCAGTAATAGCTGTAAAGAAATGTAAGCCAGCTCAATATGCATCAGGCTGTGAGAATAGAGGTGGACCAGATGTAGAACCTAAGGGGCATTGTAACATTAAAATGGACTACTGAACTACTACTTCATCTGAAATCATTAGCTTAGTCAATTTTCATCATTATCTCCCTTAATATAACCTACATTTCTTTTTTTATTTACATCTAAACACACATATTGAGATGTATTTAAAAAAAACCATGAAAGTAGTTTGAGACTGTAAAACACAGTTTTTCAGATGTCATTTAAAGGTCGCAATCTGTACAAATTGTCACCTAAGTCTTGATGTTTCTGTGAGGTTGCATGCAAGATACATACCCAAGTGTATACATGCATAACCTCTGTTAGAATCAGTGCAGTGCTACTCTGGGGCATCTAGAGAGCTATTCATCTCATCCTAATGTAGATATCTGTATATGGTTAGCTGGTTTGATTGTATTGATTAGATTTAGTTCACTTACAGATACTATACAGCTGTCTTATATGTAGATACCATTTTAAGTGTCTTAATCTTTGGTCTGAATCTCACCCTTACACATTTCTAAAATTCCACTTATGTAAATTTATCATTTCTGAATTCTATCTAGATACACTAAAAGTTGAGTCAGGATTGTGTTTTTTTAATTGCCAAATTATCAATTATCGTAGCAATGTAAGATCTAGGAATTTCATATTTTCATTACATATACAACTGTCTTTTTTTGATACTATTGGTTCAGCATATGTGGGGATCACATCATTGGAAACAAGTGCGTTAAGGCTAAATGTCAGAGGTGATCTATATAATGGAGTAAGTTGAATTCTAACTTCCATAGTCAGCAGTCAAATTACTTTTAGTCTTTTGTTGAAGGGATTCTGAAGCTGTGACTAAACTTTGGGGCCCAAAAGCTCTCTGGTTCGATATCCCTAGAAATGTATCAATTGCATGTTGGAGCAAAACCTGGACATGCATTTTTCTGCCATCCAGCTTGTCACATGAGCAAAATCTCTAGCACTGGGGCCAGTGGAGAGCTATAGCATGCTCTTTCCAGGTTCTTAATGGCAGAGAAGCACAGCTACAGCCTAAATTAGTCTTGCATACATATTGGGAAGCCAGAAGAAAGTTTACTTTTCAACAGTGGTAGTGGATGACCGCCTTTCATCCTTCAACATTTTCTTGTCATTGCATTTCTCTTTTTTTCTACACTTCTGATCCCTTAATATATGATCAAAATAACATAGGCTTTTGTAAATTTTCTTACAATCCATGGATGACAAATTCAAAAGTTACAGGAGTTTATTTAGGGCATATAACTGACATACTAGAAGACGCAATCCAAAGTACTTCACTCTGCATTTGAATTAGTGTATGGGATCCTTACAATTTTGTGATTCTGATGGGAATAAATGGATCTTTATGCCTATTACCAATGTTTGTCATTGCAAATTTAAATAGAGGAGAGCAAGTCATTAATCTTACTGAAGTTTTCAATGTATATAGTTGTATGTTGAGAGACTGGGAATGAAGTGTACTTACCAGCAGTTTGACCCTTGATTTGTCTCAATCTTAATTATAAATTGGTGCCATTTTTCTTGGCATTCTATTGTACCCTAGAGTAAAAAAATAACACATAGCAATATTTTTTAATAATTTTATTATTGCAAAGTCCTGTATGTATTTTTCCTATTTTTTGTGTGCAGGCAGGTGCTACCATTTAACTTACACTGAGGAGTTACTATTTTTCTAAAAAAAACACCACACATGCACAAAGTCTTCTTGTTCACAAATGTATCTAATTGCAGTAGCCATGTTACAGTAAATATTAGTTGGTTGTTGATAGACCTTTAATTTTGTTTAGTAGATCAAAGATACTTGGTCTTGTGTTGCACAATGCGCTGGTAGTCAAATGTATGTATACAGTTTCATGTAGTTGCTTATATAAGCATTTTTTAATGCTGTATACTTAGGAAGCTTTATGCCTTTAGTCTTAAATGAGATTAAGTTCAGTGCACAGAGCAAGCCCAGAAATCAAGAGTATCTGACAAAGAATGCATATTGAAATTGCTCTAAATATACATTTATTTTGTATTTGAAACTTTTACAAAGTAATTCTTTATGAAGTTATTATTTGCCATTCTTTCTTTTTAATCATCATTCTTCCATAAACTGAAAAGTGATTAGGGTTTTTTTGTTGTTTGTGTTGAAAATAATATAGTGTTTACTTTTCATTATCCTTAATTATAGACGGTATTCTAAGCTCAGTAAACCACACGTCTCCTATACTAGGAGTGGAACCTGTCTCAACCTCTCTCCACGCTGATCAGAACTATCGGTTCTCAAGCCTCTCTTACCAGGAGGGTATGTAAGCTGCTCTTCAAGGCATCAATATGTCTGAGTCTTTCTTTAGGTATCTAGTGAAACAAATATGTCATAGCCAGAATCCAGTTTATTATTCTCTTCTGCCTTTTAAGTTGTCTGCAGTATCAATTGCATACAACATTCATGTTTATTTTCTGCTCTCATTTTTATGTAATGTTCATTCAGTGCAGTTTCACATCATATGTGGGTGCGTGCTTGTTGTGATGTCTGTTTTCAAGGCAGTATTTTGTTCTTCCATGATAAAACAAGTTATCACTCAAAAACTGCCTTTAGAGAAGTCTTAGTGTTCCTACAATGTCCAAAAAACCTTTATCAAAGAAGTGGAGCTACTTGCTTATATCTGAAAGCACTTAAAATATGTGACTGTACTTGGTGGTTCTTCCTCTGCCTGTTGCCTAATTTTTTTATGACCAACCTTTGCAAAGAAACTTTAATCCTCATGCCCCAAATTCTCAGACAGTGTCCTAGAAGAGACATTATTACTGTCATTGCAGATTTTCACTTTGAAATCCATAGTAGTCCAAAGAAATGTGCTGCATATTGCAGGTTTTACAAGATCTCATCTATTGTACTTTGTGTTCTGTTCCAAAGTCCATGCAGAATCCAGACATTTTAAAAGATGCAGACAGAGAACAGCTGCCTATCTGGCAGAACAAACTGAACATACTAGTTTCATGCTTTTTTCTTCTTTGGTAGAATTAGGGCACTTTCCCTTTTTGTGCAGCTGAGAGGATCATAAAAGTTTCAGAGAATGTATTAACCTGGAAATGTTTCAAATCCTTTGATATTGTTCAGGATGAAGGTCAGTGTATGAATATAAATTGTTACTATTCCTTCCATAGAAATGTCAAGCCCTCCATTTCAGATAGCTTCTATGGATGAAAATGGAATCCTCAATATGTGGGTGAGTAATATATGTATGAAAACAGAGAGTATCATGCATTAGAATAATAAAATGCTTCTTCAAATATAGCAACCCTAATCCAGGATTTCTGTAGAGAATTTCCTGCTTGAAAAATACAGGAACACTAGCCATTCTGTTGGAATTCTCAATATTTTTGACCTGACTCCCTAATGCCATGATGCAAAACTATTAACAGGAACATGAATTCATGAAAACAGGCAATCAGTAGTTCTGCTTCATAGGAATACATTCACATATTTCTATTAATTGAATAATAGATGTCAGTCCTCTTTCACCCACCTACTTTATTTTATTTGAATCACAGTGGTGTCAGAGACTGTACTGAGAAATGTGAGAAATTACATTCATAATTTATATAGAACAAATGTTCACGAGGCAAAATGTGAAAATCTGTGGATAAGATTACCCTGCCTAAAATATGACAGGCAGGTAAGCACCAGGTCTGTTGCTCTTAATTACTGTTCTGACAACTCTTCTTCCTATGGATGTTTTCAGTCTTTTTCTGATGCAGCTTTGGCCCTGCTGCTGAACCTGTTGTTTGCATCTGAATTGATCTTGCTTGAGGAACTGAATGGCTCAGTGAATAATAAGGGGATAAAAGTATTTCCCTTCTGTATCACTAGTTAAGTCCCTTAAAGCTCTAAGTAACTATAGTAGCAACAGATTCAGGCCAAATGATCTACCCTTTCTATTTCATGAACAGTGAAAAGCACAGGAAATGTGTTACAATTTCTTATTTGGGGGGGTTAGGGTGGGTTTTTTTGTGACCAACCAAACCAACAAGATGCCAACTAGCGATGAAGTGTAGAATGTAACTTCCCAAGTTCTGCTTTCCAGCAGGGAACATCCAGCAGACATGTGAAGCTATTTTTTTAGCATTGTAGGCATTGACAGCAGATAGGGAATCTACCTGTAATCATTGTAATGTTAGACCTACTTAGCTAAACGTTCCTTTAGAGTTATGTCATACATTATTACAACTAGTCTGGTAAATATTTATTGCTTATTAATGTTAAATATTGACTTTTCAGGTAGTTGTTGAATTACAAAAAGTGGATTTAGCTGGTTCACAAACTGATTTAGGTGAGTACTGTACATTAGAGGTAGAATAAAGTGCTTGAGTTTTGAGATTATGAAGTTAGAAGAGAGAGGAAGACTCAGTGATGACAAAAAAAATGTTTAGAAGAAAGCAAAATCACTGAGGAAAAGATTCGTTCTGAATAGGACAAATATCTGATATTTGGGGGTATTGGTTAGGTATCATGAGAGTTATTTTCACTGCTATCTGAAACTCATCTGCTAATTCTGTATTGGTAATTGCCACCAGACAACCACATTTCTTATAATGTCAAAGCAGATTTCTGTGTTCTCAACAGCTTTTTTTCCCAAAGAATATGAGATTTTATGTCCTTCTTGGACCTCCTGTTCTTTGTTTAGTTTTAACCAAATCTGTTACAATGCTTTTGTTGTTGCCCATATCTCCATTTTGCTAATTGTCCTGCAATTTCTTTTTTGGGTACGATACTTAATTTAGTGTGAGAAAAAAGTTTCCATGAAAAAAGTAAAAAACAAAGTCCATTCAGCCCTTTTTGAGTTATGTGAATGAAGAAAATTAAATTTTTTGTTCTTTGAATAAATTTAGACTTACACACTTAACCTAACTGGAAAAGGCTGTGATTAAAATCCTGATACATTTTAAAATACATATATAAACAATGAAGTAAAGCTACCAAACTAGAATTTTTGATCAGTTTTCTAATTTATAAGCTCATGTACAATGTCTGGCTATATTAAGCTGCTAAAGCTGGGTATTATGTCTCTGGAGAGGTATGTTCTTAAGCTACGGTTGTGTGTTGACACAGTTTTAGTGCCACCAGCATTCATTTTTTTCCTCTTCAAAAAGTTCTTTTGTTTGAAGGATTTGAATTATTTATGTTATTCTCTAATAATAAGTAACGTAGACCAACTTTATGGAAGCATTATTAGAGTCTCTCATTACTATAATTCATTGTCAAAAATCTAAGTGTCATAAGTGTGCATTTTCACAATTGATAGAATTGGGTTTTATAGAGTGATATTACAGGATGTTATATGCATACTGTAAAACTAAAACAAACATATAATCATGTTTCCCTCTGTCCTCTTTCTTTGATTTCTGTCAAAGATTACAACTCTTCAGATTTGATTTCTGAAGTAAATAGTCCTAAATGATGTAAGATTCTTACACATCAAAAGCTATACCTACAATAAACAATTTAATTATGAAATATCCTTTTACTTATTAGCTTAGGTTTTAATTTGATGATAGCACTTATTTAATGCAAAGTGCTTAAATCAGTTTAAATAATTATTTTATATAATTTTAGGTTTAATTCCTGGAGGGAAAGTGAAGTTAGTACATAGCTCTACTATGGAACTGAATAACAGGTAAGAAAACAGGGGCATTTAGATTTTGTATGTGTACCTCACAAAGCTAGTTTTTCCTAGATTTTATTAATTTGCTGTTATATAAGATATATTTAATATATTTTTATATATTATACTATATAGATATAAATATATGTTTTTATCATTTGTAGTTTGGGGGTTTCTTTAATATACACTTCTTCCTAGAGCTAGTCATAGACATTTTAGATCAAGAGTTTCTGTATGTACTTGCATAGCTTTAGGAGACAACTTCCTGTATTTATGTGATCTTTTACCATTATGTTTCTCCTAGCCTTTTTCCAAAGGATGTGCGCCAGAGAATGCCCCAGACACTGAGTATTAAATTTCTGTCTTCTAATCCTAATCATTTCGTTGTTGGAACAAACATTGTGAGTAATATGCTGAAATTCATCTCGTTATTTTTTGTTTTGCAAGCTGCCTCATTTACTTGGAATTTTACCAGTAGACTGTATGTAAAATTTATAATTTGAGACTATTATTAAAATTTGTTAGGTATTAAGGATCTTTTAAGGTAGCAGCTCTGTGAATTATTTAACTTTGTCTTGTAATACTGAGAATGCAAATTTTGTTTTGTTTTGTTTAATTAATTTTCTTTATATTGTTCATAGGGGCTGGTAGGCCACGGTACAAGACATGGTTTAAAAGTTTTTCCAAGGCTATTCAGACCCCAGGAGAGTGGGCTGAGATCAATAAGCATCAATGCAATTGATTTCTTCCCTTTTGGAAAGCCACTATTTTTGGTATGAAAACATTTTAGCATAATACAAGTTTCATTTTTTAATTATTTGCTGAGGGAGGATTTCTTATTTGACGTATTTAACTAGACATGATAGTTGATTTACCTCACTAATTCCAACCTGCCATGAAGGGTGACAACGAATCTTGTGTCCTGGTGTTTGAACTTTGCTTATGTAAAAGGTGCACCACCTGGCTCACAGACAGAAATGGCAATCTTGCTTCAGCCTTATAACTTACGCTTTGTTTCTACTGAAATTCAGCACTGCAAGCAGATCTTCTGCTGTTAATGAAGCCTTAGCTGTTTCTCACTTTTATCACACATCTCTAAGTGACGTAATCATTTTGGAGACAAAATAATCTGTACTGCCGTGAAATTAAGGTCTGTGAGGCAGCTGTGGGCATTCCCTGCTTTCCTTTCCACTCCACATCAGGTGTACCCTTGGGGTGTGCCTGGCAGTGTACCTTGTGGTCAGGTGTGTTCAAATCTGCCCTCAGCAGTTCATATTGTCACACCCACTGTTTTTATTTGTCTCCCTTGCGAAAGTTTATTCAACACAAATTGAATCTAACTTTGGTAGGATTTTCCATCTGCTTATCTTTGCGTATATTTGTACTTGATCCTCTGTTAAAAATGCTTTCTTTCTAAATTTGCCATGATTTACATGACTTCATTGGGATTGCCCAAGGTGTAAAATGAATTTGTTTGGCTACAGCGTACATATTTTGCGTCACCTCTGCGCAGTCAGAACTTTCTTTTACCAGTGGGGATGTTCTTACCTTTTTCCCAAATGCATTTGTTTAGAGTGATACTGACTTCTACAAGTTTATATCTGCAGAGTCCTTTTAAATGTAAGCACAATTTGCAGAGTCGCTGTAAAAAGTCATCATAATTTGAAAATTATAGGAAGTCTTCCTGATGTAGAGGTGGCCCAGTGAAGCAAGAATAAGTTATTTTCTGTTTTCATAGAATAGTTTCTTTTGTACCTGGATTAGAGCAAACTTGTAAATGTTATACCAGGCAAGACAAATGTTATAAGAAAATACCGGGAAGCAGTGATATCTGCCCATCTTTGGATTTAGTTGTTCATTATGAATCAGTTTAATATCATTATATTGTTAAGCACAGCCTGTCCTACTGAAAGTTATTCTCGGTTTTACAGGTTACATGTGTCATTAAGTAGCTATCTGACCTTGCCCCAATTCAGACTACTGTCAAGTTGCGCTGGATCATAGTATTAGTGAAGTTGATAGTTTGAGCACTTTTGTAAAAATAGGAAATTAGGACTTCAACCCAGGATTAGTGGAATAGATTACTCTAGTATGCTCAGTACAGAGTTACTTCTTTTGAACTCAAAATTATATTAGAAGTTGAAATCCAGATAGTCCATAGAGTGACATATGAGAGAGATATGCCACTTGAGTTAGATAACTGATTTTATTTATATGCTTTATAGTCTCAAGAATTGAATTGCAGTTTTTATCTTGCTTAGTTGGTTTTGTTCCCAGGAATTATTTTATTTTTGACTATGATACAGGCTGGCTGTTCAGATGGAAGTATTAGATTACACCAAATGACATCAGAGTATCCCCTCATGCAGTGGAATGACAGCACAAATGGCCGGCCGATTATTGCCCTGCAGTGGGCTTTAACAAGACCCTCTGTGTTTTTTGTCCTGGATGCATCATCTAATATTTACATTTGGGACCTTCTGGAAAATGATCTGTTTCCTGTGGCAAAGCAGACTATTCCATCAGAGAAGTAAGTACATTACATTAATCTCTTTTTAGCAAAATATTAATATTATTATCGTCTACATTTTGATTAGAGTTTGGATGGGTTTTTTGCTTGACATAAGATGTTCATCAGAATTTGCTTTTCTGACTGTATTTGTTAAGCTGTTGGAGGTGTTGAAAGAGACTATAGCAAGCTATATTTTAGTTTATCCTTATTTACTTATTTTATATAGTCTGATAAAGAAGAAATAATGTTAGTATAAATCAAAATCAGGTGTAGTGTTATCAGTTGGAACAGATGTCTGTACATGGAGCAGTTGCTGTTCATATGAAGAGAAAAATTTTGTTCCCACTAAAATCACTGGACTGTTTAAGTTCAAAGATAGTTTTGCTGGATCAGGATCAACCCCTAAAATAGGCAAGATGTTGGACAACATTTTAAAATCCCTATATATAGTATGGTTACCAATACAAAGAAATACATTGTGTTCATTGTCACAAAGTAAACAAGGATAGTTTTGGCTGGCATGTATTCACCAAGACTAACATCAGAGTAGTCTCACCATACTGTTCTCTAGTCAGTGTAGAGACCTGGGTATCCTGTGGATTGATGCAGAAAAGCAGTTTAATTTAGCCTTTCTGAATTATAGTCTTGAGGATTCTCTTTCCTCCCTGATGGGAGCCCTTCTTGGGAGACTCTGTCTTCCCTACGCTTAAGTTAGTCTTGGAATATCCCTCTAACTAAAAGTTTTCCTTGTAGCCTTGTAAACTATAGCAAAGTACTGCTAGTTTGGGGAGAAAATAATATAATTTTTAAAGTTGTTACACTGTACTGGAAAAATGCCATAAAACATAGTTCATTTTTACAAGCTTGAAATATTTTTAAGTCATGATTAGAAATTGATGATGGAATCCGTGAACAGGGGAAGAATTGCCTGTTATATTTACATTAAATGATTGCAACTGGTGAAAAGCTAAACAACGTGCTGGGACTTGACATAGTGAGGAATATTACACTGGTGAGCAGCAAAAAGGAATCATTTAGTTAACTATAAGTAACCTGCTAAAAACACGTTTGAAAACACCTATTTCTATTAATTTTGCCTCAATTAAAAAACACTCCCCTATTCTTTTTATTTCAGTGTTGTAACTATGGCTCTACTGGGAGAACCAGAAAAAACAAATGGATTGTTAGGCATTGCACTGGCCAAAGAATCTGGACAGATAGACATTCAATATGTAAAGAAGAAGTGGGCATTACGTCAGCCTGAGGAATCTGAAAAACTACATTTGATTTTATTGCAGTCTTTTTAGAAACAGTACACCTATCTGAGTGTACAAATTATTGCAAAATATTTAGATTATTTTTTACTGCAATTAAAAGATTTGTAATGTGGTTTTGTATTTGTATATAATTTGTATATATTTTAAAGAATATCAATTCAATATTTCAGCTGAAATGATATATTTTATCATAAAAATGACAGAACCAAATTTAGCATTATTGTACTTAAAAAGATGAAGTGTTATTTCATTATTGAAAGTACTCTAGATGTATATATTTTTAAAAAAATACTGAAAATATATTCCTATAAATTACACTGCTGTTTCTCATTATTCTGCTCTGAAGTAAATGAAAGCAGTCCTTTGTGTGGTGAGCATAAAGTTGTCCCTCTGTATAAGCAACCCAAATTTATGGAGATTTCTACCTCTGGGCCTTTTACACACTAACACTTGGTAAAACTTTCATATATCTACCTAAAAAAATGATGCAAACATATCAGAATACAAATTTACATCACATGATATCTTACTTCTGATTTTGACCCTGAAACTTTGCAAAAGGAATACCTGAATAACTACAGTTGTCCTGATTGTACCTGTTTGGATCAAACTATGTAAACAATATGCTTTTGAGGTTAACCAAAATTCTAAATCCTTTTGGATTTCCGATGTAAACCAGAAAATAATGAGCTGTTTAATCCTGCAAATAATTTCCAAAGCTCTTGTAGTGAGGAAGCGGATAGCTGTCTATAATACAATACTAATTTTTGTACACTATTGGTAAAGTTTGTACCAAGACCGAGCACTGAGAATGTCTTTAACTTTTGTAGCCTAACAACTTCTGATTTAAATATCACGAGGAAAACCATGATTAAATGAGCACAGATTCGTGGAAAAGAGGACAATTGGAAGACAATGTGTTCAGAATTTAGTGAACATATATTTAAGATATGTGCCGTCTCCTTCTACAATGGACTGAAGTAATCTCTAAATTTTAATTAATTCATTGCAAACGTTTTTCTGTGTAAATTGCTACGTAAATTGAACAAACTCAAAGTGGCCACATGATGGTGCCAAGTCACAGCAGTAAAAAATGAGTGCCTTATATAAACAATATACACCACATCAGGAGTGACTCTGTTGTAGTCCATTGCACGTTCATTTTTCCTCAAAAGCAGCAGCTGCAATCCAGAGAGCCCGATGAACTGTCGGAGAGAGGCATGTTTCAGGGACCATTTTCGCTATCCTGGTTCCCTGGTCAGCCATAGATTTTTTTTTTTTTTTTTTAATGTGCATATGACTCTCTTCATCTACATTGTTGGGTTTATATGGTAATAATATACACTACAAGTTAAATTAGAATAGCTTCAGTAATCCAGATAAAGAAGAAATGGCAGGTACTTTTTGCAGTAAGGTAGCAGAGCATCACTACTGAGACCCATAGTAAAAAACCAAACCCAAATCTCTCACTCTTTCCTTCTCAGAGAGACACACACTCTACCACTCCCTCCACCCAATTTAAGATCAAAATTAAGCTTTGAAGTTATAGCAGTCTTCTGAAAGAAATCTCTTTCTTATTGTCGTTTCATCACTTTCAGGACCTACCATCCTGAATTTTCTTACTGCACCCACTTCTGTACATGGAAACTGTAAGCAAAGGGTTGGTTTGTTTCTGCCTTGTGCTGTGTGCAGTGGTGGTGGGTTTTTTTTCCAATATACAAAAAGGAGAAAATAGTGTTAACCTGCACACAGAAGTACCTGTTGCTGCTTTTGAGCTGCTGTTGATAGGTATGCTTGAATTCAAAGATCCAAATATTTTAGGCTAGTTATGCTTGTACTGCCTGGAGAGCTCAGTGTGTCAGTTCCTGCACTGGGCCTGTGTTTCTTGCCTAAAAGATGAGTTTTCTCTCTTGAACTGCAAACTAATGTAATAATATACATGTATCCTGTGCTGACAGTTGCTGTTATGAGAATGTGAGGAAAACACGGGTAGAAGTTGCTGCTCTTTTGCGTGTTCTCTCATTGGGTAAATGCAGACCGCTCCATGTAACCTTAGCAGCTGGATGTATTGGTGTAATCATTTCTGAGCATATATTTGATCAGAAAAGAGGGAAGTATTGGTAGGCTGCAATACAAGAAAAGCGTTCCATGCATAAGGACTTACAATATTGTTTCAAATAAAATATTTAATTTTCCATTAGCTACTTCTAATGATCGTCAAGTTTATATTGTTAATATAAGATATTGGATTTTACACGTTCCATAAGAAAGCAACAACATGATTAATTAAAAATGAGACCCTGTATATGAAAGAAAAAAGTTCACTGTTAATTCCAAAGTATTTTCATATCCATATCATTTTTACTGGTAGCTCTGATATGTGTGCATATGCACACACATTCTGTTGAATGATCTTTAGATAGGACGTGAACGCTGCCATCATGAAACATTTAAAATAGCCCCAACAAATATATTTTTTCCCACCTGTAGGCAATTTTGGAATATGTATTCTTAACAGTACGAAATGTAGTTAAAATTAACTGACCCATATAATGGAGTCTTACATCATTTGAATGGTAAAAGTTAAATCACTATGCACCCATATTAATAACTTTTATAAAATATAACCTCTTGCTCTTACGCCAACAAATCCTGGCAGCAAGGCTGAAAAATTTTAAATATGCAGAATGCCAGAAAGTTTTGGATAAACTTCTGCTTTTATTTTCCACTTTATGAATGTGCTTTGAAATCCTTTTCTATTTAGAACATAAATATTAATATTGTTTTCATTGGATTTTGTCATCTCACAGATGGGAAAATGAAGTTTTCAGTAGCTGAATAATAAGTTAACTGAAGAACAGAATTCTTGAATCAGATGGCTGATTTCTTACAACTGTTTAGAAATGTTTTTATTAACCTGTCAGCCTATATTTGCTGTAGAGCTTGGGAGAACAGGAATAGCATGACTCTTCTTTTGTACCAGAACATTTCTTTTTAATTGTACTGAAGGTGACCGTCCTACCCAATGCAATTTTGCCTTAATTAATTAATCATAGCTGTCATTTAGTTAAGACGTGTTGAAGGATACAGGAGCATTGTAGTTCCCATAGCAATGAGGGAATATTCTACTAGCTGGAATATTTTTAGCAGAACACGATTTAAATCATGAAAATAGTTATTCTTTTTAAAGGCAGAGTTTTTCCTGAGGAGTTGAAAAGTTCATCTAGGTGTGTTCTAGGTGTAGAAATTGGCTGGACTAAAGCAAATGCTAAAGTGTCATTGAATTACACAGACTGTTGGAATAGGGCTATGTAAAATTCACTTAGGAAGTAACCAGAACTTGGCCATCAGCGGCATGCTTGGTGGCATGCAAACCAGGAAAAGTTATGAAAAGTTATACTGGGACAGGAAAATGGCTAATGAGCCATATTTTCATTGCTAGCTTAATTTCCAGTCAGGCTTAACCAGGATTCTGTTTATAGGCAAATGCTCGTTTGTCCGCATGTTTCTGAACCTCCTCAGCTGTGAGAAGGAAGATGGCAATTCCATTTACGGCTCCCCTTAAAAAAATCAGCTAACTTTTCTTTTACTAGCAGTCCCTGAAGGTTTCAGAAAGTGTATCAATAGGAAATTCTTACCCTAATTCCTGATGTAGGCCTCTTGCATTATTCAAACAGCTATAGGAGGGCCTATGTCTTGATGTTACAACATAGGAAGTGGTGATTTAGGTGCTACTGTGTGAAAACTGAGTAGCATGTGGAATTATTTATCCTTTTCTTTTTTTAATGCTACATGAAATACCCCACTGCAGCTATTTAAATACGGATTGTGTTTCAGACTGTTTTTTTACTCAGAGCCTCTTCAGCACGACAACAGAGTTTTCCCACTCACCTCTGGTGTGATAATCATTAGTGTGAATGGTGGAGAAGAGATATGGGCTGCCCAGCGCTGAAAGCTCGACATTATTCAGACTGTACTGAAGTTGAATAAATAAGATATCTGCCTGCTTCTGTGGAGAGAGACTGAAGACATCCTTACAGTGTCACCCAGGCCTTCCAGTTACCAACAATGTACTCTTTACAAAGGGGAAGAAAACTACATTGTCACTGTCTGATGCTTCAGCAACTGCAGTGTAATTCACAGCATTTGCCATTCTTTAAGCTGTTAAAACGCATTTTCCATTTGTGATCAGAAACGCATTTTCTTCGCAAAATATGGTTCATCAATCTCAGTGGCTTAGTGCAATGTGGTCCTAAGTTAAACTGACCTGTCACTGGCACGAGGGCATCAGACCAGACTTACAGAGACAGGCTAGAGTCTGATTGTTTGGTAGCATTGATGGGCTTGATTTTGAGCGTGAGGAAATCTGTGCTTTTTTCTTCATATTGGTTATTGGCATAGTGTCAAATACAGACTTAAATAAAAGCACTAACACTTGTACATAGTTAGAAAAATCTATATTTTTCATGGATGTAGCTTAAACTTTTTGACACTGTGCCATTAAACTGATGGAATTTCAGCTCCAAATAATTTATATCCTATTATAAATTAAAGTAGCCTAAGCACTCTGTTTTCCAGTTTAACACTGGTGCAACCCAATTCAAAACAGTGATGATCCCCTATTAAAAGCTGAAATAAAGCAATATTGTAATAGCCTATACTACCCATTGACATTTATAACATGATTATTTTTCACCTTCAGTTGAACCCTTACTTCTGTTGGATTCATTACATTTTGTAATATATTAGTTGCCCTTTTCTACCGGATGTCAAATGATTTTTGCTTTTAGGAGTCTGAAGTACAACAGCTTCATTGGAAACTAGTCCCATGCACAGGTCAGACAATCTGCTGCTGCTGAATAGGTTTAATACAATAAGTTAAAAGCAGTTAGAATATAATATTAGTCTTTTTAGTCAAGCCTTGAGGTGGCTACAGTTTTCTTTAAGAGGTCTTTCCTCTTAGCCAAAAGCTCTGCTTCACCAGCTCATAATTTCACTGCTATTCCTCTTTTATGTTTGTCTTGTGACTGGGCAAAACCATTCAACTCGTCTAGACCACAGTTGTTGCACATCAGGGATTTCATAACTTGCCTCTAAATGCAATGTTTTTTCTCTCTGTTATAGAAAAAAAGACATAACATGGCAGCTGGTTAGACACATATTTTAAAAGCCACATTTTTAATCCACTTGGTTCTTCTTGGAGACAAATGAACAGAGCTGGGTGAAATACCCGTGGTG